TTGAAACCAAAAAAATTAAGCAATAAAAAACAAATCCACCATTAATATGCTTTTGGGAGGTTTGGCCAACCTCCATTCCTCCCATAGTCGAACTTCCCTTGGCTTGTTTTGGATGATTCCTTGCTTTAGATTATGTATATGGATGTTTGGGTTATTGGTTTACTTGTTATTTACATGTATGTTGGTTAGTTTAGTGGTTTGTGTATAATGTTTTGGTTAATGTTCTTGTTTTAATGGATCCCTTTTCGTTTAGTTTATTACATGTTTGATAAAATTCCTCTCATGATATAAATGCCTTCATATGATGATTTTACAAATTTTTCATGCATGATTTAGCTAAATATAAGTGGTAGCATATTGCAAAAAGCTTTGGGAGTATTCGACCAAGCTTCCCCATACTTTGGTTGAACCTTCCTTCATTGCTTATGACCAAATGTTGCATCATATCTTACTTGTTTGCATGTGTTTTGGTTTGTTCATAAAATTTTCTATGTGTTTGATCAAATTTTCAATGAATAAAAGTGTTGGATTGGTAGACTTTTTAGTGGTTTTATGTTTGTTGGCATAAGTTTTAATTCAAACCAAAAAATGGTGGAACATGTCTTTAAATATTCTAAAACCCTTGGTGTTTGATCTATTTTTGCAATATTTTTACATACATGTTTAGTTTGTTATATTTTTGTAAAAATGTCTAAGTTTGTAATATGTTTGTTTTCATACATGGTTCATGAATTAAAGTTAGTATTTTCATTAATGACATTTTTGTAATTTTTGTTACATTACCCCCGTACATCAAAGTTGGTATTTTCATCAATGGCATTTTAGTAATTTTGTCAAATGCATCAAAGTTTGCATTTTTATCAATGGCATTTTGGTTATTATGCATTTTTCACATAAACCCCAATTTTTAAACCCTAAATCAAAACCCTAAATCCCAAACCCCAAATTAAAAACTTAATCGCAAACCATAAAACCTAAACCTTAAACTTGAACCCTAAAACTAAACCCTAAATCAAACTTTAAAACTGAACACTAAACCTTAAAATCTAACTTTAAATCAAACCCCAAACCTTAATCATAAACCCTAAACATCAAACCCCAAACCCTAATCATAAACCCTAAACCCAAAACCTAACCCTAACCCTAACATTAGACCCTAAACCAAAACCCTAATTCCAAACCCTAAAACCATAAACCCTAACCTAAACCCTAAATCACCTCTATATCTTAAAACCACTTGATCCCATTCATGCATTTGCATTTCATTTTATTTTGTTGTCACATGCATTCTTTAATTATCATGTATTCATACTTTATCATTCATGTTTAATTATCATATATACATCATATTATTCTTATTGTTATTATGTTCATGCATATTGCATAGGTTTTATAAATGAGGTTTTTCAAAGGAAAGTGTTTTAAAATAAAATAATATTTCAAGTAAGAATGACCTTTGAGATCTAGCCTAAATAGATGGGGACTCTCAACAGTTATTATTTATGTAAGGTATTATTTCGGTTATGGGGGGCAATTTGAAAACTTCAAAGTTAAAGATATTTTTTGAAGCTCTACCTAAATATAATAAAATGGGAAAAGTGTGTTTATACTTAGGATGTCTAAAATAAATTGTTTTTGTTAAAAAAAAAACTAAAAATGATTTGCTTTAAAAAAATTGATTTTTGGAATAAACAAATGAATTAATCTATAAACATTAAAGTGGGACCATATTTATCAAAATCTAAGAATAACATGTAATTAATTGGTATCGTCTTCGATGGGAGCTATAGGGGTGTTAATCTTTCCCTATGTGTAATCGACTCTTAGACCCTACTTTGATTTTGCAAACCACAAAAATGATCATTTAGTAAACTTTAAATCCATTTTAAATGTTTTATTAAAAGGATAAATTTTTTGGGTGGCTAATTGATGCCGGGAATTGATGTTTGAGATGTGGAGATTAACTACAAACAAAAAAACTTACAAAGAAAACAACTCATAAGGATTTGAATAATGGTAGAATATGATTATTTGATTAAAAGAGATAAAAGTTCACCACCAAGACTAGAAACTAAGGGATACAAAACATCACCCTAACAATTCTAATCAAGGATATAGAATAATAAAAGTTCATTACTCTAGGAAATCCACCTAAGAGATACTGAACTTGAAGAATAATCTAAAAGATTGCTTAAGGACAAAGAAAACTCTATTCTATCTTTTACCAAAGAATAATAGAAAATATATAGGCTAGGAATATCTTCCTAAGCATGGAAACTTTTAGATTGCATTGCTAGAATCATGCCTAAAATCATGAGATTTGCATGTGAACATAATCTGTCCATTTACTCCCGCAGATTATATGATAATAAACCTAACCACAATTCCATTCATATTCATGATCTTCTTTTTTAGCTAATGTGAATGCAATCTCTCTAGTCTAGCCCACCTTATTTTTGCATTTATTTAGTATATTTGGACCAAGGATTGACCCATCTTATTTTTAGAAAAGTCTACCTTAATCTCAGTCCAAATTGTATGATATGCAGACATTCCGATGTCAATCTTCTCTGGTTGAAAAAAACTTGTATTCAAGTTTAAACTAATATTCTTGCCATGGTAGGGTGACAACTCAGCAACATTAAAGGTGAAAGATACTTCATAAGTATCAGGAAGCTCTATCTTGTAGGTATTCTTCCCAATGCATTGGAGGATTCTAAATGGACCATCTATCTTAGGTTGTAATTTACCAAACTTCCCTAGAGCAAATCTTTCTTTTCGCAAGTTAATCCATACCAAATCATGTTCTTTGAACTTCACATGTCTTCGATGCATAATTTTTAGACCAGTTTTTACTACCAAATCTAAACCAGTTCTGATACCACTTGTCATAAGTCAAGACTTAAACTCCAGGCTCGCACAACTTTAAAACTTAGGAATTAACTTTTTTGCATCCCAAACTAGCCTAAACTCGAAATGGTGCTCGGGCACTTAAGACTATAGGGCTTGGATACTTAGAATGCTATAAAAAACAAGGTATAGTAAATGCTTGAAGAAAGGCTTAAAAGAACAATAGTAGTAGAGATGAACACCTAGAAGAGCCCAAGGTGATACGGCTCGGTGCTATCCAATTTTATCAAAAGGGTGAAACCTCTTTAGGAGTTAAAGAGAAAATAGCAGTAGAGTGCCATAGCATAAGTCCTAAAGTATAGCCAAATCTTTTAAAAAAGAGTGTGCAATGAGCAACTTAGAAGAAACGAAAGAAGCATCAGCTGTACGAGTAAAATGGACGTAGCATAGGGTTGATGATACTTAGATTGAGAACAACGGAGATCAAATAAAATACTTTTTTGGGTATGGGATTGAAATGTGGGAAAACTGGTTCATGGGTTAGAAGATAGAGCTAATGTGCATAGAAATGAGCAGTTCGGGCATAGCAACCCTTTAGCAATGAGTGGGGGAGAATGTCACGATTTGCAAGAAAGACTAGGCCTAGGGGTTTTCTCCAAGATAAGGAGTAATTTAATTCAAGTAAGACCAAGTCAGAATGCGAGGGAAAATAGGCCCAAAGGTTCAATAGAGGTCTTAGAGGCAAGACCATGACTTAGAATGGGTGTATAGGCACTAAAACGAGCTCTAAGAGCTCAGGCCAAGGGATCTGGTTAGGCAACTTTGAAATAGACCCCACCATGGGCACAAGTGCTAGCCCAAAAGTGGGTAGAATAGATCCAAGCATGGGCCTAAAGAAGGGCCCCTTGTGGGCACTATTGAAGAAAAAGTCCCACCTGGTTCCAACCCTAATCTAATAGAGTCCTTGTAGTTTTGAACTCTCCTATTGTAATCCTATGCAATCTCTTGTAATCTCTAGACTCTTTATAAGCCTTAGGATATGATTAATCTAGCCATAGATGTAAAAGGGCTTCACCTATAAATAAAGGGAGACCTTCATTATACACTCCATAACTTGAAGGAATATAAGTTTATTCTTGCTTATTTCTCTTGTTTCTCTTTAGATTTCTATCAAACACTTAATGTGCAGCCTTGTTTGAAAGTAACGCGAGTGGCTGGTCTTAGCGTATTGAGTGCTTGAGCACTGATCCAAGTGTTAGACTGATCTAAGACATCGGATATTAATGGATATTCATATACTATTAGAAAAATTTTATTTATACTGATGATTGTATAATGTGTTAGTATAGGTATTATATATTTTGACAATATTAAAAATTTATCAATATAAATATTTTTTACTGACATAATTTGACTATTAGTATAATCAAGTGTTAATATATAAAATTTTTTTTAATGCAATAAATGATGATCAAGCCTAACTTAATAATTCAAATCTCAACTTTTGCCTAAGTTCAACCTTAATTAAAAAAAAAGTTAAGTCCCACTTTTATATAAAGAAATTAATAAAAATTAATTAATGTAATAATTATTTCTTTTAAAAAAGTTATAATATAAAAAAAGTTAAATAAGTGTTGGAGTTTTGAAAAATTTTGTAATAATATAAATCAAAACACAACGTATTTTTATTAGCATTATTAATGTACAAAAATTTCAAACATAAACTGAAAGGCTTAGAAAAAGGGAAATTTTATTTATAGTCATAGTTTTGCTCAGTACATATTTTTTTTACTAATTACACTCATATTTCAAATAAATTCTCTTAAAATTACTTAATAAAACCAAGTAAATATTTTTGTAGTACACTATAATCCTTTATTCAAAATTAAATACCTTCTTATGAAAAATTTTAGTAGACAAAATATCCATATCTTTAACGCCTGATGATTATGTTAGTATTTTTAATAATAAAAATTTTTAAAAATTAATAATTTAATTAAAATTATTAAATAAAAATAATGTGAGAATTATATTTTTATAAATTATAATAAAAAACTAAAATTTAAAATTATTTCAAGTACATAAACTATTCTCATAATTTTTTACCTCCTTAATGGACAAAGCAAAAGAAAACCTGTACCCAAACACTGCCTCTGTTTCAAAAGTTACGATTCGGTTGTCAAATCCAAACAGTATTCTAGACAACTCTGGAAGAACAATAAGAAAAAAAAAAACAAACAATAAAATGAAAACATCGTTAAATAAAGGGAGCCTGTGAAGAGAAAAAAAAAAGGAAAAAAATTTGGAAAATCGTTGAGAAAAATCGAAAAAGCCAGTTCCGATGGAGAAATCAGGAGGAGCTGCACCACCGTCGGTAGAAAGCTCGAGGGAGCTACAATGCGTAGGCAAAATGGAAATCGTAAAACCGAAGCCCGCTGGTTTTCTCTGCGGTTCGATCCCTGTTCCAACTGATAAATCCTTCCATGCTTTCAACTCCGCTCTCGTCCCTTCCTCCCGCCAATCGTAAATATACCCATTTTCCATTTCTCTTTCATGTTTTCTTATTGATTTATAATAAGTTTTATGTTTGACTTGTTTTTTTCCTTCTGTTTTGGGTGTCAGAGTAAGTGCGCCGAGGTATCGGATGCTGCCGACGGAGACCGACTTAAACAGGCCGCCGCTCGTCACTAATTGCCCTGAAAAAGTGCTTCCAGTTGGGGCCGTACAGTCCAAGGTTACTGGAGGTATTTTTTTTTTCTATTTTTGAGACTTGCTAGTTTAAATGTTAGCTGTAATTCTGAACTTTTGTAAAAGAAGAAAAAGTATTAGAAGTGGAAAACGAAAACATTGCAGCATTTAGCAAGAAAACCATGCTTATTTTTGAGTGGTAGAACAAACCTAAAGGGCGGCCTATTGCATTTGTCAAATATGCATAATTTTGAACTTATTTTGTGGATAGATTGTTTTTGTGACTTGAAACCATTGCACCCTCCAGGTCACTATGGGTGTGACATATTCCGATTAGAGCATTCTTACATTCTATCGCAACCATTTTCAGAATATTGGTTCTTAGATGGTGTTATACTATTATTTCTTGATATTATTCAAAAAACAACTTTCCAGTTAGTCTAAATCGAGGTGCGAGGCTTGTTCAAGGTGCAAAGTTGCAGGGGAACTTTTGCCCCTAATGGAGTGTTAGCATTTTAGTGGAAGCTAATGCTTACCATTGGATATGAGAATTCTTGTTTAACTCCTTGTGCTACTATAGTTTCCTTGAAATTTGACATGATCAAAGATAGTCTGGTTGAAACACTACTTCTATGTGGTCAACCAATAAATTCCCTCACTTGAGAATGAATCAATACTTATAAAACTTTTCAATGAATTTGAGCAAATGCATTTCACTCTCTAAGTTAGGATTGGATGATCTTTTAAACAATGATGGCAATCTAAAGCCTTTCATTTAGTGGCGGCACATGGTTTCTACCCTGCATAGATTTTTGTCCATCCAATCTTTGTTGAAGTAGATTGAATGATCTCAGTTGCTTATTGATAGGGCTTGTTTGGGTTTGGAGACTAATAAGTGATTGTCTTTCTATCTTTTGTATTAGTTTTGTGCACGTTTTGATAATGTGGCTTAGGCTTATATTATAGGATCTCTTGTTCATGTAAATGGCTGACCACAAAGAAACACAAAGTTTCTATAGGAAAAAAAGGAGGCTTCTAAAATTAATTTAATAAGGGGAAAGGTGTCCGGACGTGTTTGTTGAAGGATGGATAGGACAGGTGTCAATAACTTGCTCATCTGTGTTTGGTCTCTTGGGCTTTTGCACTTGCACATCCAAAGCTAGTGGCATGAGATAAAGATTGTTAAAGAGTGCTTAATTAAATATTTTCTTGATTCTAGTGATAAAAAAATTAGTATAATGGTGGTTGACATGAGGGGCAGCTTGCGATTATTGGTTTCTTGAAGGCAAAGAGATATGGGTGTGCATTTTGGTTTACTTAATTTGGTCGAGTTTTTGACAAAACTGAATTGATAAATTACACATTATTTATATAACAGATATGACAAAAAGTTTTCTGTATAAGCATTAACCAAATTAGTCGAATTAACTGTATTTAGGGTTTAGGGTTTAGATGGTAGTGTTCTTTAGCTTATCGGCATAGTCGTTTTGACTTTTGAGGCCATTCTAACTATGATTTGATAGGCAAGAGATTGCTGGAAAGTGAGATGAGATTATTGAAGGAACCTAGTTTCTTGGTGTTAAGAGTTCAAAATTAGGCTTAAAAATAAAAAAAAAAGAAAAGAAAAACAAAATGGCATCTTATTTGCTTTGTGGTTTGAAATTGGTCTTCCTTGCCTGCTGTTGTCTTAAAATTCAAATAAAGTTGGCAAAACTAAAGTAAATATAAAAAGTATTGAAGATGATATTCTTGGCATTAGACTTATAGTTACTTATGTTAATCTTAGACCTAGAGTTGGGCTGCATGATACATTCCTTAAAGTGCATTTTTCCTGCTGGTTCCTTTGGACCTATCTTAAAACTATTAAGGCTGCAAATAAAACTGATAAGAACTATATTCTTTTGTTAGCTGATGAGATTTGATAATCCCCGCATTTAGATTTAGTTAAACAATCAAAGAGTATGTGGCAATAGTAGCAGCTTATTGATATGACGGAAACTTGGACTCGTCTGTAATAAGAGAGTAGAGGAAATGCTGTGGTCACTGAGCTTTTTCTTTGTTTCTCTTTCTTGTGTCAATTGTTTGTAAGTTTAATAATCAACAACTGTTTATGGTGCTCCAGAAGTAGAATGGTCTACTATTATTGTTGTAATTCTGATTGGAATTCTTAAATGAATTATTGATTGAATAGGATATCTGATTATGTAAGTTACTTCATGCTACTTGTTAGCTGTGCTATCAATCAAAACTATCTGATATTTGAATCCTATATTGTGTAGCCCATGTTCTGTTTTTGAGAAAATTTTATATGATAGATCCAATGTTTCAACTTAGTTATGACTACATAAAAACTGAAAAATGATGCACATGTGTGACAATGAGAGAGGAGGAACATATTAAACCCTTTCTTCTTGCCTTCTTTCTTGAATTTGAAATATCATTATATCTCTATTTTCCACTTTTCTTCGTTCTTGCACTAGAAATGTCCTGGTTCCTGTTGTCAATTTCAAACTGTTTTCGCTCCATCGTCTGCATTTCTTCTTTCTTGAGTTTGAAATGTCTAATTTTTTTTTTATCTGATTTTAGTTTTTTCTGCGGCAGATATAATATGGGAGGATGATGCTATTGCATCTAGTCTCAGTAGGAAGTGTGAAGCACTTGCTGTGTCTGGTTTGGTGGAATATGGAGATGAGATAGATGTGATTGCTCCAGCTGATATTCTAAAGCAAATGTTTAAAATACCATATTCTAAGGCTCGATTATCAATTGCAGTCCACCGTGTTGGACAGACTCTCGTTCTGAATACAGGGTTTGTATCTTTTTATAATTGTTTCGTTTTTCATTCTGTTAAAAGTTTGATGTAATGAGGTTTTGGCATACTGCAGACCTGATGTGGAAGAGGGAGAGAAATTGGTTAGAAGACATAGCAATCAATCAAAATGTACAGATCAATCTTTGTTTCTGAATTTTGCTATGCATTCAGTTAGAGTGGAGGCCTGTGATTGTCCACCTACTCATCAAGCAACACCGGAGAGGCAATCAGATTCTGCTGTCTTTCCTGGGGGAGAGACATCAAAATTTGTGGCAGAGAATGACGATATTGCTCGAAAAGAAAGATTTGAGCACTGTTCAGAGTACTCAGAGGTTAAACGGGACGGGTTCCTTTGGGGTAGTAAGAAGGGTGACAGAAACAAGAGCCGTGATCCTATCAAGAAGGCAACACATGTTGGTGAAAAGCCTAGATGCTCTGTGCAAGAGTCTGAAAAGCACAGAAGAGTTGGCAATAATGGATTCTTAAGAGTGTTATATTGGCAATTTCACAATTTCCGAATGCTCCTTGGTAGTGACTTGCTTTTATTTAGTAATGAAAAGTATGCTGCTGTGAGCTTGCACTTGTGGGATGTTACACGACAGGTTGTTTCCAGTAACTGGAATTTAATTGTGTTTGTATTTTTGGAGGATTTTTTTTATTGTTTTTCTCCGAACATTGCAGGTTACACCATTAACCTGGCTTGAAGCTTGGCTTGACAATGTCATGGCAAGTGTGCCTGAGTTGGCCATCTGTTATCATCAAAATGGTGTTGTCCAGGGTTATGAGCTTCTGAAGACAGATGATATATTTTTGTTAAAAGGCATTGCTGAAGATGGTACTCCTGCTTTTCATCCCCATGTTGTTCAGCAAAATGGCCTTTCTGTTTTAAGGTTTCTTCAAGAAAACTGCAAGCAAGATCCTGGTGCTTATTGGGTATCATTATCTTTTCTTTTTATATAAAAAATCCATTTCTTGCATGTCTTAAAATTTACATAGTGAACTGTGCTTATTCTTTGTGTTTTACAGCTATATAAAAGTGCCGGTGAAGATGTAATTCAACTTTTTGATCTTTCTGTTGTTTCCAAGAACCATTCTTCTAGTGATTGTGATGATAGCTCAAGCTCCTTGCCTTCTCTAGTACATAGAGGGAGAAGTGATTCTTTATTTTCACTTGGAACTCTCCTCTACCGCATTGCTCACAGGCTTTCACTTTCAATGGTGTGTAAAACATATAACTCTTATCAGTAGATAACCCCACTTCATGTAATGATCTGCTAACTGTGTAGATGTTATTGGTGCAGGCAACTAATAACAGGGCCAAGTGTGCAAAGTTTTTTAAAAAATGCTTGGATTTCCTGGATGAACCAGATCATCTGGTATCTATGCTTTCTAAACTAAATTTGTGTTTTGTTCAAAGAGCAGTTCTTTAATTTATTTTTATTTTATTAGTCATTAATGATTGGAAAACATGGATACTTATTATCAGATATTCCTAAATAGGTTGTACGTGCATTTGCCCATGAACAATTTGCCAGGCTTATTCTGAATTACGATGAAGAACTAGATCTAACATCTGAATATCTTCCAATAGATTGTGAAGTTACAGTTACTGAAGTTGGTGAGGTGGACCCTTTTAACTGTTTTTCCGAATCTGCTGTCCATGACTTTTCTGTGGTTGCTGATAACAAACTAACAGAAGATGGAACAGAATTTCATGATTTAGCATCCGAAGTTTCTGTAATGATGACTTTGGAAGCAAATATATCTGTCCCCAACAAAATGATAGCATTTTCTGATACTGGGTTGGGAGATGAAGAAAATACCTTGTCAAGGTTTCATGGTGATGAGAACTTCATGGTATACAACATGTCTTCAACATCTGATGCTTTAGTTCAGCCTGTTACTGATCCAATCTCCTCTAAGCTTGCAGCAGTGCATCATGTTTCTCAAGCTATCAAATCTCTCAGATGGATGCGCCAACTGCAAACCTCTGAACCACGGTTAGTCAACCAGGATATTGGTATTCATGATCAGCTACCTTCATCTATGAATTTTTCTGTTTGTGCTTGTGGTGATGCTGATTGCATTGAAGTTTGTGATATTCGAGAATGGCTTCCAACATCCAAACTGGACCACAAGTTGTGGAAACTTGTTCTTCTCCTTGGGGAATCATATTTGGCACTTGGACAAGCTTACAAGGAGGATGGTCAATTGCATCAAGCTTTGAAGATAGTGGAATTAGCTTGCTCTGTTTATGGATCTATGCCTCGGCAACTTGAAGATACAAGATTTATTTCCTCAATAGTTAAATGCTCACCATCTGATACAAAGTTCAATGACAGAGATAAAAAGAAAATTTCATTTACTGGTGATGTGAAAAAAGTGAAATCCAACTCTGCTGACAACTGCTATATTGTGGAGCACTTCTCATCCACATATCTTTTCTGGGCAAATGCATGGACACTAGTTGGAGATGTGTATGTTGAGTTCCACATAATTAAGGGTCAAGAGATCTCTGCTCAAGCAGAGAAAAAACCTTCTACCAGAGAGTTGAAAATGTCATCTGAAGTTGTGAAGGAAGTACAAAGGCTCAAGAAGAAGCTGGGCCAGTATAATCACAATTGTAGTTCATGTTCCTTGGTGAATTGTAGCTGCGAAAGTGATAGGGCCAGCAGTGGTAATAGTGCAAGCAGCAGTGGCGGAGATACACATGCAGTAACATATGGCAGAAAACATGGCAAGAGATCACGTGGTAATAATGTTCCTAACACACTTTTGGGAGGCAATGAAGATAACAATGGTCATCAAAAAGTAAAGAGTAGACAAATTCCTGATAATAGACAGTTTCGGCACACTGGAGATGGTGACAACATAATAAGAGCTATTACTAGTACAGATGAGCCTGGTGTAAATTCAATGGAAACTACTAATTCTAAAAGAACGGAGGCTTCGTTTGAAATGCATGACAAAAAGTCTGAAGTGGCCATCCAAAATGAAATTGCTTTAAAAGAAACTCCCAAATTGAAAGATGGTGGCATTTTCAAGTACCTTAGGAATACTGTAGTTGCAGATGCAGAACACAATCTCTTATCTGCTTTGAGCTGTTATGAAGAAGCAATAAAGGCTTTGGGTGAACTTCCTTCTGGTTCAGCAGATCTACAGTCTGTTCTGAAAAAGAAAGGATGGGTTTGTAATGAACTAGGTCGAAACAGGCTTGCGCTGAAAGAGTTAAGAAAAGCTGAACTTACATTTTCAGATGCAATAAATGCATTCAGAGAAGCCTTGGACTACACCAATATAATATTAATATACTGTAATTTGGGTCATGGCAGACGAGCATTAGCTGAAGAGATGGTGACGAAGATGGAAGGTCTGAAAATGCATGCAATTTTCCATAATGCATACAAACAGGCTTTGGAAACTGCAAAACTAGAATATTGTGAATCACTTAGACATTATGGGGCAGCGAAGTCAGAAGTGAGTGCTATAGTGGAAGAGGCATGCTCTGTGTCAAGTGACAGGAGGAATGATGTCTATACACAGTTTGCGCATACATATCTGAGGCTTGGGATGCTTTTAGCGAGAGAAGATACAACTGCTGAGGTTTATGAAAATGGAGCTCTTGAAGCTATATCTATCCCACATGACAGAAAAGCTAGGAAAGAGCTGAGGAAGCATGAGATAACAGCCAACGAGGCCATTAGAGAGGCATTGTCAGTGTACGAATTACTGGGTGAATCACGTAAGCAGGAGGCTGCTTACACATATTTTCAGCTTGCTTGTTACCAAAGAGATTGCTGCTTGAAATTTTTGGCACCGGAACATAAGAAAAGTAGCTTGCCAAAAGGTGAGAATGGCGTTCACCAGAGGGTCAAGCAATATGCTTCCTTGGCTGATAGGAACTGGCAAAAGGCAATAGACTTTTATGGTTCTCAGACACATCCCAGCATGTACTTGACTATTCTTATTGAGAGATCGGCTCTTTCATTTAGCCTGTCAAGCTATTTGCATGCAAACATGGTATGTTATGAAGTTTTTATTTACTATTACTCTCAATTAAATATTTGTAGTGTTTTGCTCGAGATTATTTCTGCCAAGCTTTTTGTTATAGGAATAAACAATAGCTATCCTACTATTTTCTTTTCTATACAGTGTTTTGTTGCTTTGCTTTTTTGAATTTCTCTTTAGAAGGCATTAAAATGATTTGGTATCTTGCTTGTAACAATTTAAATGTGATCTTATCTTTCTTAATCATTTTGTATATAAATGACAAATTCAAGTAGGATTTCATGTGATATTTCGCCAGAGAATTTGTGATCCTTCTACATTGAGCTCTATGCAACTGATTAACTGATTTCATGTTATATGAAGTTGATATGGGTACGGATTTAGAGGTTGGGAATGTCCGATACTTCTGTTTTAGGATAAGTGATAAATGAAAATTATATTTGATTGCCTAGAGCAAAAATTGCCTTGCATCTGCAGTGTAGCCTTATGTAAATGAGTAGTGTACCAGAACAGTCTTCTATATTTCCAAGACAACATCTTTTATGTTCCTTATCATGACCTTTTTTTTTTGTTTTTCTTTTTTGTTTAGAAAGCATTGAGATATAGTCTCATGCTAAGTTGATAGTTTGCATGGTTGTATATCTTGGAGGTGTTATAAAGCGCATCTTATTCTGCTGGTTGTTCAAACCTTTGACTAACAAGCTAGCACAGCCTTAGCTAGGTTAGATTCCCAAAGGCATATTGAGTGAGGTCTCAATAAACAATCATAACAGTAGTATTGACATCTCTTTTCTATCTACGAAGACTATTAGCTTGTGTTGCAGTTTTTACTAAAAAAACATAACAGAGCTTGTTGATGTTGCTCACAATCATGACAAGAATTATAGCAGCATTGTTTGTCTTTTTTTCTATGAAACTTTGGTTGATTTTTTATTCTACACGCTTTTTGGTATTAACCAGCATTATGCTCTGTCATGCCGGTTGTTTAAGTTAACAGCATATTCTTCATGCTAAGACTGCTATTAATTCACTCGAATAGCATTCACTGGTGCAATACGACATTGAACCATATAGCCAATAGCTGAAAAAGAATTTATTTGTTTTGTTAAGACTGCCGATCTTGGCTTGCCAACAGTTAATTCACCAGTGATACCTTACTCTCCCCCCCCCCCCCCCTCCCATTATTTTTGTACATTTTTTATGAAGCAAGCAGAAACACATTTTACAATAAAATTTTCATCCCATTTACTAGAGATGCTGATAAATGGCTTTTTCTCCAGATGCTGGATGCATTGTCCCACCTACTTGAAGCACGCCGTGTATCGGAAGCATTCTCAAATTTATTTAGAACAGACTACCCTGAATTGCATGCAAAATTTTGGAGTCAGTTACAGATGCTTTTGAAGAAAATGCTGGCTATGTATCTCTCTATTAATTCAAATAAATCTACTTCAGATACTCAATCAACTACAACATCTAACAGGTCTGGAGATGCTGGAAAGCTCAGGGAGCTTTACAAAATGTCTTTGAATTCTACTGACTTGAGTCAATTGCATGCAATGTACACCTTGTGGTCATCATAATCACTAATCAGGAGCGAAAACATGCATCCCATGGATATTTCATCAGATATTGTTGAATCTTATGGATTCAGACAGCAATGTATATTGGCAAATGACTTGTAGAATCTTTGTTCTCGGATGATGATAAGGACATTGAAAGTATTGTTGATTCGAACTGGTTTACTGGTTCTGCATCTTGCTGCTCTTTGTTCTTGGCTGGGATTTTCTTATGGCAGCTAAATAATAGTGCTTGACGAAAGGTTGTGAAGTATCAAGACGCGTCTGCACGGATGATCACTGCTTTTTTTTTTTAAACCGTTTTGTTTCCCTTTTGTCTTTCAGTTCATCGAATCCCTGAGGAATGTAATCAATTTTAGCTTGAGATGTGCCACCAGCCAAATTGTCTAAAAAACTTGCCCAGCGAATATGATCCAATTTCAGTGGGGGTGGTGTTTGCGGTGTGGTGTTTGAAACCTTGATATAATTTGTAATATGTGTTTTTTGGGACCTTTATATACTATACATTATACATTGTGCTTGTTCTTGCTTTCTCTATTTAATCCACATATGGTTAGTTCGATTGGCAAGGAAAGGAATTGGATTTCATAATTTATGTATATTTATCATGTGTATTTGTGTAAAATATATGTTAAATATAAAAATTATTTTATTATAATTTGTGTGGATATTCAAATGTAAAACATATTAAGGGTCAATCTTTTTATTTATATCTACATAAGTTTTTATTTTAAATGAAAGATTGATTTGTGTTAAAAGGATATTTAATTAAAAATTAAAAATTAAAAATTAAAGGTTTATTTGAATATAAATGAAAAGTTAAAGTTTTATTTAAGCATAAATTAAAGGTTGAAGATTTATTTGTATAATAAATATAAAATTTTATTTAATTAAAATGATAAAATTTATTTATTTTTTATTATTTTTGTTTATTTAAAATATATCTAATCAAAATCATACTACTAATATATTGGAGACTTTTACCCTTTTTTTTTCTTTGTGATCAAATTATATTTGCTAAAAATAAAATAATAACCCCATCTTCATTATCAAAATTTTGGTATTATTTAGATTTGTTAATTCGTATTATTATATTATATAAAATATTTTATTTATATAATATTTTATACAAAAATAACGTATTATTATTTATATTGATATAAAAATATAAAATAAAAATTTATGATTTTATTAAATTTATTTATATTTTTTTAAAATTTAAATTATATTATTTTTATATTTTTTAATTATATTATTTTTATATCATATCATTGAATTATATTTTAAATTATCAACTCATCAAAATTTCGGTATTATTAGTGTATATAAAACTTTCACTACCATAAAGTTTTGAGCTTTGTTTGCTTTCCATTATTTGGTTATCACACGTACTACCAAGTCATCGAGTCACCAATACAACTACAACGACAAAATCCCAAAAAACAGGAACACTGAAGAAGAGAAAAAAACTGGCAAACAACAGGGAAACCAGAAGAGAAAGAGAAAGAGAAAGAGATCTCATCTGAGATATTTGTGGCAATGAGTAAGAAAATCACATCATCATCAACAACAACAACGCCCACAGGCACAGTTTTGCCATACCAAACCCTAAGACTAAGGGACCATTATTTGTTAGGCAAGAAGCTTGGGCAAGGCCAATTTGGCATCACATATCAATGTACCCACAAAGCTACTGGCACGCTTTACGCTTGCAAATCAATTCCAAAGCGCAAACTTTTATGCCGTGAAGATTACGATGACGTTTGGAGAGAGATTCAGATCATGCATCATTTGTCTGAGCACCCAAGCGTGGTGCAGATCAAGGGAACTTATGAAGATTCTGTGTTTGTTCACTTGGTTATGGAGCTTTGTGCAGGTGGGGAACTTTTTGATAGAATTGTGGCTAAGGGTCATTATAGTGAAAGACAGGCTGCTAAGCTTATCAAAACTATTGTTGGTGTTGTCGAGGCTTGTCATTCTGTTGGGGTTATGCATAGAGATCTCAAACCTGAGAATTTCTTTTTTGATTCTCCTGCTGATAATGCCATTCTCAAGGCTACAGATTTTGGCTTGTCTATCTTCTATAAGCCAGGTTGGTTCTTGGGTTTTATTTTGTTTATACGTTAGTTTTGTTTATATGCTTAAATGATTTATGTATATACGGAAAAACCAAGAAATAGCGTTTTGATTTTTTTCTGACTTTGGATTGATTTTCGGATTCGAAGTTGGGGACTTTCTTGATTCTTTGATTGGAAGTTCAATACCTTGTTGAAGGGTTATTGTTGAGTATATGATATTGGTTGTTTCCATGATTGGGGTTTTCTTTTAATTTTTTTCCTTTTTTTTTTTTTGGATATTTATGTTTCGTCACGTTGATTGATTCACCGAATGGTCTTCTGATCATGTTCATTAGATCAGTTCATGTTAGGATATCTCATATTTTGTATGTAGTTTTGGAAGTTCATTTCTTTAAAATTGCGTGGAATGTTGGTTCTGGTTTGTTTGTTCTGGTTTGTTTGGTTTGAACGATGCTCTGTTATACATAGTCCATTAGTTTTCTAAGAAGGTTTCTTATTTAGTTTTTGTCCATAATTAATGTACTAAATATCTAATTCAATTGGATACAACGTAAAACCTTTTTTAACATTAGCCGGGATGGTTCAATGACTACCAATTGCTTGGAAAACTCCATACTGATGTCAAGATCAGCATCACTAAAATATCAGGTTGTGCCTCAGTACTGAATTCTGCTTGCTTGTATGAATCACTTTCAAATTTCTTGTGCTTGGAAGAATCCGTAGGCTTCTTCACAGGATGGAAAACTTCACACTATCCCATGTGCTAATGCTTTCCCTTTGTTACTAATGCCAAGATCAGCATCACTATAATATCAGGTTGCGCCTAAGTACTGAATTCTGCTTGCTTGTATGAATATCATTTTCAAATTTCTTGCGCTTGGAAGAATCCCGAGGCTTCTTCAAAGGATGGACAACTTCACACTACTGCATGCGCTAATGCTTTCCTTTTGTTTTTCTGTAATTTTTCCTCTCATAGTAAATGGGGGTTACATTTTCTATTCTTTTCCCTTCCAGGAAAATAGTTTTATGATGTTGTTGGGAGTCCCTATTATGTTGCACCAGAGGTTTTGTGCAAGCATTATGGACCAGAAGTAGATATATGGAGTGCTGGTGTTATCCTTTACATCTTGTTGAATAGCGTTCCGCCATTTTGAGCAGGTGTTTATCTCAATAATCATACTTCCTGCAATAGTTGGTGCCATTCTTATGGTCTCATCTCGTAGGGTGTACTTTTCTTCTCTACTCATAAAAACTGAATCAGGAATATTCTGACAGATTGTACATGGAAAAATTGATTTTGTATCTGAGCCATGGCCTAGTATCTCTGAAAGCGCAAAAGATCTGATGCGAAAGATGCTTGAGAAGCACCCAAGGCAAAGAATTTCTGCCCATGAAGTCCTATGTAAGTCATTTGAATATTATATGTCATCTATATTTTTATTTCTTTGCAATAGCTCGGGAATGACAATGTCTTACCTTTATTGTTTATGTGTAAGTCCCAACAGTTGGTTGATTTATGCATCAGGTCACTCATGGATTGTTGATGATAAAGTTGCCCCAGACAAACCTCTGGATTCTGCTGTTTTATCATGCCTGAAGCAGTTCTTAGCAATGAACAAACTTAAAAAGATGGCTTTGCGTGTATGTGGTTTTCCTGTTTTATCTTCCAAATGATCTATACTTAATAGGAAAAATTTCCGTGGAAATCTGATTGTGAAGTTAGTTATCTGCTATACTGAATTTAAAATTGCATCTTCTTGCTGAAGGATTTTTAATGCTGAATTCATGTTGTGACTTTTAGAAAGTGACTTAGGATATCTGAAATTAGAATGAAGCCTGTCTTGGGCACCAGGAGAATAAAATGATCAAAAGCTTCTGATTAACTGTTTATGAAATGAATGATATCTGGCATAAAATGGTCATTCTGATTTTGTAGAAATAAACATAAGAGTCTGCTAAAATTGAGTGTGTAATAAGATGATACAGATCTTAGCATACGAGTATTAGTGTTATTTTTGTTCTCACACTGTAAACTATGGAAATGGTCTTTTGAAAACATACTTAAAGTCTGAAGTACAGATTTTGGCATAATAAGTAAACAGTAGGAGAGGAAGTATAACTAGGTCTGCCAAGATTCTTGAAGCTTTTATTTTGGCTTCCTTTTAAACCAGAACATTGAAGATATAACTTGCAGTTTTTGTTAGCATGGTGTGGTGCTGTGATCTAATTCATTCTGCATAGAAATAGTTTGGCATTTATATTTGATATGGTACCCAACTATTGTTTATTTTAATATTCGCTCACAAGGCCTTACCAATTTTTATACATATACAAGCTTTTCCCTTTCACTTAACTTTTGATGTTTTGAATCTGTGGCATGTTTTACCCAAAATGTTTGCCTTGAATCAAACCCCAGGTTTTGCCTAAATGCTGCTTAGTTAGATGGAGGCAGGGGTCTGGGCTTTGACAGGTTTTTAGGTGGAGGCATTTATGTTTTCCATAATATTTAAGTATCATTAGGAAGCTGTCATACTAAATGATCGCCCCTATGGCGGACTTCTCTTTCTACTGCAATTAATTGCAGTTGAAGTGTGGTGGTAAAATCTCAAACTTCCAAAGTCAATCAATCTTCTTGAGCTTGATTTATATTATATTTTGGCTGAGGTTCTTCTGATAAATCATACTTCAAACAAACAGCCAAACAAGGGGAAGAAAAAGAACAAAATAATAATAATAATAATAAGGGCCTTTCACCCCAAGAAGAAAATTCATCATGAAGGGAGTGCTGGGGTTAAGAAAGAAGCAAATCTAATGGTGGTATAAAAGAAGTATGTTATCAAATGAGTACTAGTTCACCCATTCATATTTTTATTGTTACAATGATTCTGGGACTGTAATCATCTGCATGGTAGAGCAAAACATCCATTCATCGTTTTTGTTTGTCCTGTAAAACGAACCTTTGGTGTTGGCTAGCTGGTAATTAGTTGGGTGGAGGCTGGGTCTGGAATTTAACGGTTTTTGGTGGAGAGTTACATTGTCCATGATGTTATAATTGTTGTTAGTCACTCAACTATAGCCTCTGTAGTGAAAAGCTCTTTCGGCTGAAGTTGGTTGCTGTAGAAGTCAGGATCGTAATATCTTAAACTTCCAAAAATTTAACAATCTTCTTAATGTTGATGCATATTAACTTTATCTAGGGCTTATGATAAAATACTACCACAAACCATCCTTTCTCCCCAAGAAGTAAATTCACCATCAAATAGCTTCGTGAGACGTGCAAGGGGCGGGGATTGTTACTAGAGAGAGGAAAGAGGAAAGAAGGCAAAACTATTGTAATTCTATTTTACTCAAAATTTATTTTCCTTTTCAGTTAGTTAGTTATGCTATAACCCATGATTGTAGAAAAGTAGCTTATTTCTCAAAGTTCAACGATTCATATTCGTAGAATGATTCTTTAACTCTAG